CCGCGGGCTCAGGCAATCCACTCACCTCAGCCTCCCAAAGGCATGGAATTACAGGCTGAGCCACCGAGCCCGGCTTTATTTTTTTAGTTGGAGTCTTACTCTGTCACCCAGGCTGGAGTGCGGCGGCACACTCATGGCCACTGCAGCCTCGACCTGCTGGGCTCAGGCAATTCATCTGCTTCAGCCTTCCAAGTTAGCTGGTACTGCAGGTGTGTGCCACCATGCCCAGCTAATTTTTTGATTTATTGTAGAGATAAGGTCTCATCAGGTTGCCCAGGTTGGTCTCAAACCCCTGGGCTTAGGCAGTCCTCTTGCCTCGGCCTCCCAAAGTACTGAGATTACAGGCTTGAGCCACTGAGCCTAGACTTACATTTGATTTTTAATGGAAATTGTCTTCTGAGTCAGAATTAGGGACCCAGCTCCTTGGTGGAGCCCCGGGAGGTGGTGAGGGTAAGTGGGCTACAGAACTGTGCTTTCTGTTTAGGGGGAGCAGCAGGCCCCTGGCCTCCTAGGAACTGCTGGCAGATCTGGGAGAAGCCTAGGTGGCAGTGTCAGTGTGTGCAGGGGCAGGGCCAGCAGAAGCCCTGGGGACCCTGAGCTGGAGGGAGAAGCAGGGAGGAATTGGAGGGCTCCTTGTGTCTGAGGAGACTTGTAGGCAGGACATGGTCTGTTAACCTTGGGCCTGGGGAGATATGTTCTCTCCCAGTAAGAGGAGGCAGACAGGACTCCATTTTGAAATGTTTTATTTAATGTCTTTCAGATCTTGAGAATGTGAGAGCCTTGTGCTCAGGGTGGTAGGACATCCACGTGGGAGGTGCTTGGTAGAAAGTGCACAGCCCATTGGTTATGGGGTTGCATGATGGCCGTGGCACCGCCCTCAGCCGGCTCCTGTTCTGGTCAGAAAGAGGAGCAGATGGGGGCAACTTGAAGACATTCACCAATGTGGAGACAGAGTGTCCCAGGGGTCTGGAGTGCAGGTCCCTGCAGGCCAGCTGCATGGGGCCAGCCTCAGCCAGGCCTCGGGGCTACAGAGTTGAAGGGGACTAGACAAGGCACCCAGAGAACCCCGGTGCAGCAGGGGTGCCATGGCAGGTATGTGTGACAGGTGTGCCTGGGCAGGTAGGTGTGTACAAGCACGTGTGCACAGGCAGTTGTGTGTGGCAGGTATTCCTGGTCCAGGTATGTGCAGCAGGTATGCCTGGGCAAGTGTGCTCAGGTCTAGAATATGTAAAAGCCAACTGACCACGGGGGCTGTAGCATGAGGGGCTGAGGATGCATGGGAAGGAGAGGCGGGGAGGGGAGGAGGGGCTGGTAGGCAGGTGTCCCTGAAGCAGTGGTTGGTGGCAGAGCCCAAGGGCAGGCAGGGGGACTGGCGGGTCCACCTGTCACCTGAGCTCTGCCTTTGTAATGGAAGCTTCCCCGCCTCATTCTGTCCTAGCAGTGTGTCCCCATGGGACCCTTAGGCCAGAGAGCACTTTCTCTCTGTGCTCTGGTGTGTTCACAGGCTGGCGTCCCTGGCAGGAGGACTGTGGGCAGAGAGATCTCAGAGTCACTTTGTGAGCTAGCCATGTGCCGCCATGGCCTCGGAGCCACTGGCCCTGCCTCATCCCGGCTTCTGGCTTGGAGTGGAGTGGGTCAGGGCACAGAGTTTCCTGTGTCTTGCTGCTCTTGCCCTTGACCCATGGGCTTGTGTTCACCGCTGCAGGTGTTTAAGCACTGGATCATGTATGTGATGGTGAGTGGGCTGGAGAGGAAGACCTGAGTGCTCTGATGCTCCTGGCCAATTGAGGGGCTGCAGCTGTGTGCACTGGGCTGTCTGGCGCCTCTAGGTCCCAACGTGCGTAAGGGAGGTACTTGTGCTAAAAGTCTTCTCCTGGGGCGCCTCTGCTCCTGGCACCTGGAATTATCCCCTCTGGAGCAAGGCCATACTTGGGAACAGCCCTGTGTGGCCAGCTGCCTCACCTTGGAGTTGTGTGTCCTCAGCTGGACAGCGGATACTGTCCAGTCGGCCAGTGTGAGAGTCTAAGCCTCAAAATAGATTCCCTCTCCCAGGGCTGTGAAATCCCCTGGATTGCAAGAGAGGCTGTAAACAGGCGGTGACCCACGGTGCCAGTCACTGGGTCAGGCCTAGCAGCTAGGTCACCCCCATTCCCCGCCACCATCCTAGTCTGGTTCCAGCTTCAGCCCAAGTAGTCCCATCCCCAGGGACAGAAGCTGGCCCTTTGTGTATGTGCTTGGAACCAGCACTGACCTTCAAAAGTGATTCTGCCTTTTATAGAAAGGAAACAGGGGCTCAGCAGAAACACCCTGCCAAGCCCTGTGGTCAGGAAGGGCAGTATGAGGTTCCCCGGGACCCCAGTCCTTGTTGCAGTCAGAGGGGACTCTGAAATCAGGCACATGGACAGAGAGCTTTGCCGATACGTGGGGAGGGGCCAAGGGCAGCTGTGGCCCAGGTGTAGGTGGAGAATGCAGGTGGCTCCTGGAGCTCAGGCCGTGAGTGAGCTCAGTGGCTCCAAGTCATGCATGTGTCTGGCTGACTTGTTCCCACTTCCTGGATTGCCTAGAGCCCATTGGACCCCAGCCTGTTGGAAACCCTCTGGGAAGCAGGGGGCCATGCAGCTTGTTCACAGTTTGAAGGGAGGAGGCAGCTATGCCCTGTGCTCAGTCTCACTCCTGTGTCTGGCTTCTGTTGCAGAGGCTGAGGGGATCTGGCAGCAGAGTGCTAGGACCAGACACCCCCGCGATGACCAGGTGGGTCTCAGGCAGGTTGGGCAGTCTTCGCCTGAGGTGGGGTGTAGGCTCCCTCTCTGTTGTGTGCCCCAGCCCTATCCTCACACACTGGGTTTCCCCAGTTCCCCTGTTTCCAGAGTCGTCTACAACGGCAAGAGGAACAGCAGCCCCCGCTCTCCCACCAACAGCAGCGAGATCTTCACCCCAGCCCATGAGGAGAATGTACGCTTCATTTACGAAGGTGAGTGCCCGCCGTGGCAGCTCCTCTCCAGGTCTCCGGGCAGCCAGCTCTGCCCCCGCCCAGGACTCAGACTCCAAGGGACTTCCCAGAGCCCCTTCCCTGCCTCTTTGCCACCCCTCATGCAGATACCCTTGCTGCTGCCACAACCTTCAGGGGCCCAGTGGGCGGGGGTGACTGAGGGAACCCTGCCTGGTGAGGAGACCTGGTTCTGACTGTGGGAGAAGCCATGACGAGGGCGTGAGAGTAGGCAGTGCCAGGAGCTGGCTGCCGGCACTGGAGGGCTTGCTGGGGAGCGTGGGGGCCTTGAAGACAGGGGGTGCCCTGAGCTGTGAGCATGGTGTGCTGCCAAAGTGGCCAGAGGAGCGTGGTGGAGTGGGGGCTGAACTGAGGTGCCCGCACTGCCCGTGAGGCTCTGGAAATCCAGGTGAGGCCAGATGAGCCCTTCTGATCCTCGCCCTGGTCATCTTTCAGGGAAGGGAGTGGGGTTTGTGGGGAGGGAGGTTGGGCGTCAAGGGGTGCTCGGAGCGTGCTTCTCAGGGGGGAGTAAGGGTCTGGGTGGGCAGTGCTGAGGGCAGGCACTCTCCTGGCTTGGGCAGTGACCAGCCGGAACTCTGCACTACACGAACCCAGGGTTGTGGGTCCTGAGCATGCGACCTCTGCTCGGTGCAGCTTGGCAGGGCGTGGAGCGGGACCTGCGGAGCCAGCTGTCGGGCAGCGAGCGAGGCCTCGTGGAGGAGTACGTGGAGAAGGTCCCCAACCCCAGCCTGAAGAGTGAGTGGGGCTGCCTTGGAGGGAGGGGCTTGGCCAGCCCACCTCCCACTGCAGCCCTCTGCTTCTTGCCTCCTCTTCTGGGACAGCCAATCTGCGGCTTCCGGAGGAAGTGGGGCTGGGTGGGGCTGGACCCACCACTGATTGCTGTGTCCCCTGGCAGCCTTCAAACCCATTGACCTGAGTGACCTGAAGCGCCGGAATCCCCAGGACACCAAGAAGTCTTAGAGTACCCGTCACCCCTCCTGGCCTCCGGAAGATCAGGGTGCACTGGATGTGGGTTCCCCCTGTCCTGTGGGCCCTGCTCCTGGCAGGGGAGGGGGCCTTGCCCCAGTGGGCTGTAAACCCAGGACCAGTGTGATTGGTGACGGAGGCCTGCCCTCCTCCCTAAGCTTTCCCTTTTCCCCTCTGGGGGACCTCAAACTGCCCCCATCGCTGGGGAGTCTGGGCCCATCAGCCTTGCCCTCCCCTATCCTAGCTGCATCTTTGAAGCTGCTGGCCTGGCCCCGGGAGCCTTGACCCCTCTTCTCTACCCTCACCTGCCACTGGTCCCACATCCCTATCCTCGGTCCCTTCAGGATCAGGAGGGAGAAGAGGGAGCCTCTGTTGTCTCTCGGGCTGGTAGGACTGGGCTGGTTTTGTCGTTGAGGTGGCCAGGACTCAGGACAAGGGCAGCCCCACCCCATCCAGCCTAGGCCCTCATGGACCCCTGTTGCTCCTCCAGCCTGGAACATTGGGGAGCTTCTAGCCTCCCCACCCCCGACCAGCCTAGCCCCTACCGTGCATCAACTTCAAGATGGCACTAGCTCTCTGGGCCTGGGACACTGCTGGGCCCCCCAAAGGAGTCCCGGCAACCCCGCCCGGCCTCCTGGTGTCTTGCACCTGGGGGCAGGGTTGCTGAGGCTGACCCTGAGGTGGTGGTGCTGCCGGTTTGTTCTGGCTCTAGGGTGTGCTGGGAGGGTCACCAGGGCTCCCTTTTCTTCCTGTGCCCCTCGAAAGCCAAGTGTCTTTGTGGCTCTGGAGCCTGAGGGTCTGAATAAAGGTGGGAGGCACTGGAATTGCCCTCTTGGTGGTCTTTAGCCTCTGCAGCCCATACATACCTCCAATCCCAGACAGGGCTGGGCATTTTAGAATCCCAAAATATCTCAGCTAAGCCCCTGGGTTTCACTGTGGGGGGAGGAGGGAAGACCTCCTGGGGAGAGGGTGGTGGAGGGGAGTGACTGGGCTGTCTTGCTGCAGGGGCTCCCCAGAAGCCATTCTTTCTGGGGGTGGGGGCCCCAGAGGCAGTGGGCACGCTCTGCTGCCCTGAACCCACCCTTTGGGCACTGTCTATGGATCCTCAGAGGAATCAGCTCCTCCGCTGTCCAGATAAAGAGGTGGCTGCTGGGCCCCAGGAGAGACCCAACTACACTTGACCTTCAAACTTGGAAGCAGCCCTGGCAGGCCTGACTGGAACGTTCTTCCTGTGCCTGAAGCTGAAGCCAACCGGAATTTATTTCTGACACACCCTTTCCTAGAAGAGTATTTGGGGCTTGAGTGGCCCATGGGCACCTCCTGGTGGCTGGGCTGGGGCAGGGGATGCTCTCTTGCAGCAGGGAGGACTTGCTGTCATCAGACTGCCACTGCCTGGCTGCCAGTGGTCACTGCTGTGCCTGACCCTGAGCCACCTCCCTGCGAATGCATGGCCTCATCTTGTGCCCTGGGGGCTTGTGAGACCTTTCCAGAGGGTTTGAGTGTCCACCAGGCTGGGGACACCCAAGCTGCCTCCTGTATTTAGCCTGGAGGGGTCTGGGCTGGGGTGGACAAGGCTGGGTGGGGTACAAGCAGCTGCAACTCAAGGAGCACCACAGCAGGGCGACTGGGCATACAGCTCATGAGCAATCTTCACGACCACATGTCCTCCACTCACTTAGCCTCCTGGACCACCAGGACCAGGCAGTGGTGGTGGGGAAGCAAGGTCTTGTCCTATGTGCCTTCTGCCCAATGGTTGCCAGGCCAGCAGAGGTTCTGTGAAGTGAGGCCCAGCTACATTGGGGGCTTCCCAGAAAGTAGAAGGGTGGGCTTGAACCCCTCCAGGCCCTTGCAGCACATGGCACCTTGAGCAAGTTGCTGGGTCTTTGAGCCTCAGTTAGTAGCAATTCTATCTGTGTCCTGGATTGCCCCTTGCTTAATAGTTTCCTGCTGCCACTATTAGTCACTTCATGGATGTGCTTGATAAGGTGCTCAGCCTTGCACAGTGTTGTGTAGCCTTCTCGTGGGAGCTGGGCTCTGCAATCAAGAGGCTACAGTCATAGCCTTGCTGTGAGCCCTGGGGGACACCACCCTGCCAGCCTGCCTCAGTTTCCCCATCTGCAAAGTGAGGATATGGGCTGTAGGTGACCCAAAGACCTCTGTGTGCAGGAGTGCTGGGACTCCCAGGCAGCACATCTTGAGGTAAGGGAGCTTGCTGTATTAGTTGACTGCAGCTCCAAGCTTCTTTTGGGGGCATTCCTCCTTACCCTGGGCCCTGGAATCAGGGCCTTCCCTACCCACAACTACCCGTGGGGTGCCTGTGAGCATGACCCCAGCCACCTGGACCTGCACAACCCATATTCCCTGGTATGGGTGGATCTGAGCCACTTCTCCAGGTCTCTTCACTTCTGGTCTTCCTGCCACCCAAGGCCCTCAACTTGGAGGTCTTTCTGCCAAACACCTTAGAGGAAGGGATGGTCTGGTAAGACCACTGGGAACCACACAGCAAGGAGCCCCCTGATGTTACTGGAGATGCTGTACCCCATGCTCTCCAGCTCTTGGAGCCATGTGCCTAGATGTGGGGGAGAGCCCGTCCTGACTGTAGAGCCCTCAAAGATGTGTCCACCAGGACCTGAGTCTAACACCAAAGCCCACCTACTCTCCTGTCCACTAGAGGGCCCCACATCTCCCTGCTGTGGACGCCCAGCAGTTTGCTTAATGGGGTGTGAGCTCAGCTAACAAAGGAGATCTCTGATCTGGCTGGGGACTTTAGGGAGCTGACTGCAAGGCCTGGCTCTCAGAAGGGTACGATCCTTTCATCTGAGCTTGCCCTGGCCACTCTGCCACCTCCTTGCCCTGCCAAGGTGCTGGGCCAAGTGGCTTGAGAGATTTCCCTCCCTCTTTTACAGCAAGTTCAGTCTTGGGAGATGAGGCATGGGTCCTGGGGACAGGAGTGTCCACTGCCCCACATGCATCTGTCACTCTTGCTTTCATTCAATGTTGACAACTCCATAGGGCAATTTTTTTTTGAGTTGGAGTCTCTGTCGTCCAGGCTGGAGAGTAGTGGCACACTCATGGCTACCTCAGCCTCAACCTGCTGGGCTCAGGTGATCCTTCTGCCACAGCCTTCCAAGTAGCTGAAACCACAGGCATGTGTCACCACGCCCTGCTAATTTTTTGATTTATTGTAGAGACGAGGTCTCACCAAGTTGCCCAGGTTGGTCTGAAATCCCTGGGCTCAGGCAGTTCTCTCACCTCGGTCTCCCAAAGTGCTGGGATTACAGGCTTGAGCCGCTGCACCGAGACCACAGAGCAAATTTTATCTGATATACAAATGAGGAAACAGTGACTTTTTTGTTTTTTGTTTTGAGTTCCACTCTGTCACTCAGGCTGGAGTGCAGTAGCACGCTCACCACCGTAGTCTCGACCTGCTGGGTTCAGGCAATCCTTCCACCTTGGCCTTCCAAGTAGGTGGAACTACAGGTGCAAGCTACCATACCTGGATAATTTTTTTATTTATTGTAGAGACGCGATCTCGCCAAGTTGCAGTCCTCTCACCTCCACTTCCCGAAGTGCTGGGATTACAGGCATGAGTCACCGCACCTGGCCAACAGGTGACCTCTTATAAGAGTTTTGTTTGTTTTTTGAGTTTGAATCTTACCCTGTTGCCCAGACGGAAGTGCAATGGCACACTCACGGCTACTGCAGCTTCAACCTGCTGGACTCAAGCAATCCTTCTGCTTCAGCCTTCCATGCAACTGGAACCACAGGTGCAGGCTACCCTGCCAGGCTAATTTTTTTGATTTATTGTAGAGATGAGTTCTCACTAAGTTGCGCAGACTGGTCTGGAACCCCCGGGCTCAGGCAGTCCTCTTGCCTCTGCCTCCCAAATTGTTGGGATTACAGTCATAAGCCACTATGCCCAACGTGTAAGGAATAAACTTTTATTTATTTATTTATTTTTTTGAGTTGGAGTTTCACTCTGTCGCCCAGACTGGAGTGCAGTGGCCGCTCCCGGCCACCGCAGCCTCTACCCACTGGGCTCTGGCGATCCTTCCACCTCAGCCTTCTGAGTAGCTGGAATTACAGGCACGCGCTACCACGCCCAGCTGATTTTTGATTTATCGTAGAGATGAGGTCTCACTGCCCAGGCGGGTCTCGAACCCGCGGGCTCAGGCAATCCACTCACCTCAGCCTCCCAAAGGTGCAGGATTACAGGCTGAGCCACTGAGCCCGGCTAACTTTTATTTTTTAATCATAATTTTAATAAATGCATATTGAATATAAACAGTAATTTCCTAATAGCCAATATGCCCAGTTCCTATTTCCCTAATGTCTAAAATAATGCATTCCAGGTGAGTTGTTGACTCAGGGTGGGAAGGTAAAGTGCTTATGTTTCTAAGCTGCTCTTGATCCATAACAGTTCTCTCCTTTCCCTCCACTGCTATAGCGAAGTCCCCTAGGGCATCTGAGGATGGGGGATCCCACATTCTGCATTTGTCTAGTTGCATCTTCATTCCTCTGTCCCCTGTATGTCTGCAAACTGAGGTGGGGTGTGGAAGCCTGATCAGATTTATAGGAGACTTTGGATGTCAAAGGATCTGGCCCCTGGTGTGGAGAGTGGCCTGCAGGGTCCAAGACAGAAGCAGAGAGACTGCTGCTGTAGGAGGTTACTGCAGTGAACGGGGAGGAAGAAGTTAGGGGCAGGGTGAGAAGCTCAGTGTGGACATGTGGAATTTGAGACACCGTATACACAATACGTATACTAAAATGAAAGCTAGGTCTAAAGTGTGATTCAGGAGAGCCACCGGGACTGGGAATGTGGATTAGGAATTAGCAGAATTTTATTTATTTATTTTTGAGTCAGAGTCTCACTCTGTCACCCAGGCTGGAGTGCAGTGGCAAGCTCACAGCCACTGCAGCCTTGGCCCCTAGGCTCAGGCAATCCTCTCGCCCCCACCTCTCAAAGTGCTGGGATTACAGGCGTGAGCTACCACACCAGCTTGATGATTTTTTTTTAAAGATTGATAAGAGAGGAGGTTGGGGCCTGATTCCTGAATGCAGCAGCCAGTGAGAGGAGGAGGAAGGCAGAGCAGTGGAGACCAGGATCAGAGAAGAAGCAGGCTAGGGCAAGGCCCGGGGCTGAGTGTTGCCCAGGGCTTGGGAGGAGCTGAGCCCTCTCACCGAGCGGCCTGCAGCTCCCAGTCTCTCCCCCCTCCCCCGTCTAGATACAACCACTTTCAACCCTTCACCTAATTCTGGAGTTCGTGTATTCACTTTTGAGCCAGAGTCTCACTCACCCAGGCTGGACTGCGGTGGTGCTGCACTTAGGCCACTGGTACACGCCACCATGCCTGGCTGGTTTTTTGATTTGTTGTAGAGACGAGGTTTTGGCAAGTTACACAGGCTGGTCTCAAACCCCTGAGCTCAGGCAATCCTCTCACCTCCCCCTCCTAAAGTGCTGGGATTACAGGCGTGAGCCACCATGCCTGGCTATATTTTTATTTCTGAACTAGATGTGTGAATTGATACTTACTGATTTTTCCAATTTTGTTCTCTCCCCCACTCCCAGTACACACATACACTATTCCTGTTCACCATCCTCCCTAGTTTTTTTCCCATGACTTTCGTTACATCACTGCTGTGTGTTTGCATCATGATGTGTGTTTGTATTCAGAGCTGAGCCATATGTTAAATTGTGATTGTTTTTTCTGCCCAACTTTTTGTTTTCCTTGGTGTTTTTGTTTTTTTTTTTTTTTTTGAGTTGGAGTCTCACTCTGTCTCCCAGACTGGAGTGCAGTGGCCACTCCCGGCCACCGCAGTCTCGACCTGCTGGGCTCTGGCAATCCTTCTGCCTCAGCCTTCTGAGTAGCTGGAATTACAGGCAGGCGCTACCACGCCCGGCTGATTTTTTGATTTATTGTAGAGATGAGGTCTCCCCAAGTTACCCAGGTGGGTTTCGAACCTGCGGGCTCAGGCAATTCACTCACCTCAGCCTCCCAAGGCGTGGGGTTACAGGCTGAGCCACTGAGCCCAGCTTCCTTGGTGTTATTACTTGCCTTATTTTTTAAAATTTTTGAGTTGGAGTCTCACTCTGTTGCCCAGGCTGGAGTGCAGCGACTGCAGCCTCCACCTGCTGGGTTCAGGGCGTTCCTTCCACCTCATCCTTTCAAGCAACTGGAACTACATACAGCCCCACCATGCCTGACTAGTTTTTAAAAAAAATTTATTGTAGAGATGAGGTCTTGCCAAGTTGCCTGGGCTGGTCTCGAACCCCTGGGCTCAGTCTGTCCTCCTCTGCCTCCCAAGGTGTTGCGATTACATGTGTGAACCTCACACCCAGCTTAATTGTCTTCTGTTTTCATTTGCTTAGTTTTATAGGTTGTAATCACTAAATAAGTCCTGAACTCTCCACTAGGTCATCTAAATCTTCACTCGGTGTGTTCAGTCAGTATCATCGCATTGAGAGTGTCTCTCCTGAGCGTTCAACCTGGCTTGAGGTCCCCTGCCACAGTGGCCCATCCTTGACTCTCCTAGGTGTGATCCTTGATATTGTAGTACACCTCTTCCTTTTTCTTGGTCTCTACATTCATTTGAGTAGTGTGCATGTGTTTGCACACACCAGACTCCAGGGGTCACGCACATAAGTCATCTCCCTCCCATCCATGCACACATACCCCACACACAACTCCCTTGCATGCATATTCTTCTGGAGTACCGGGCATTCACACATCTGTCCCTCCTGAAACACAGGTATGCATTTTCCACCCTCCACACACACCCAGTCACCCTCCCTTCACAGTGCATGTGCGTGTGTGCGTACACACTCAAACATACACACTTTTTTTTTTTTTTGACTTGGAGTCTCTGTTGCCCAGGCTGGAGTGCAGTGGCACGCTCACGGCCCCCACAGCCTTGACCTGCTGGGCTCAGGTGATCCTTCTGCCTCAGCCTTCCAAGTAGCTGGAACTACAGGCACATGCCACCACTCCCGGCTAACTTTTTGATTTATTGTAGAGAAGAGGTCTTGCCAAGTTGCCCGGGCAGGTCTTGAACCTGTGGGCTCAGGCACTCCTCTCACTTCAGCCTTCCCAAAGTGCTGGGATTATAGGCATGAGCCACCGCACCCGGCCAAACACACACACTTTGCTGGGTGGTAAGTACCCACCATTCCTTTAGGGGAAGGGGACTGAGGTGCTGGACTGAGCTAGAGGTGGGAGGGGAGCTAAAGATGGGGAGGGGAAAGAGGATTGAGGTGTTCATCTGCCTGATTGGGGAGAGTTGCTGTATGAACTGAGTTAGAAAGTGGGTTCCTCTGCCCGCCCGCCTGCAGGGCTGCCTGGGCAAGACCAGTGTTTCTTGGTTGGGTGAGTCCAGCCCCTTCCAGGCCCCCGCCTCCTCCTGACTCACCAGCCTGCTCCAGTTCCCTCGAGGATGGAGACAGGGACAGGGGTGAAGGAGGACAAGGGCAGAGGGACTTGGATGGGGAGGGCTGGCCCCAGGTGAGCGGCACACCCTCAGGGCAGTCACCACCCCTGAGCTCAGCTGGCGTGAAGGAGAAGGTACACCACCTTGTGCTGACACAACCAGCCTTGTGCCCACACAGGTACCCAGGCATCCAGGGCTCAGAGGAAGGATCTAAGGCCTAGAGCCTGGGGGGCCGAGGATAGAGCTGGCCCCAAGCCTCAAGGTCGGGAGCCTCTGGCCTGCAGTGGGTGCAGCTGCCTGGACTGTTTCCTGGCCTTGCAGTGCCCACTAGTCACAGTAACCCCGGGACCCCAGAAGGGCCCAGCTCCCGCCTGTCCTCTCCTCACTTCCCTCCCTGCCGCACCAGGCCCTGTGGTGGGTGGTAGGGTGAGGGCCCCCCCAGGAGGGCCCCAGCGCCTGGCGGGTGAGTAATTCTATTTACCTTTCCTGAGAAGCCTCCTGTCCTCTCATTTGCTCCAATTAGCCTGGCTCTGCCTGAGCAGCTCCAGTCCACGTGGCGCAGGCAGGGGCTGTGGCACCCTCCTCCCCAGGGCCCAGTGGTCACCTCACACGAGCTCCTGACTCCTCCTCCACTTCAGGCACACACCCAACCAGTTGTCACAGCACCCGCTGCAGGGACCACCCTTTAAGTGTGACCATAGGCCTCGCGTGGGCTTCCACTCCTGGACTTGGCTCCACCCCAGCTCCATGCTCCTGGGTGGCATGTCTGAGCCTAAAACAGCAGCGCCTATACCTGACATACGTGATCAGGTAGCAGCTTACCCTCAGGGTGTGCCAGAGACACCAGGGTTTCCACCCCAAAACATCTCCTGGGTCCTCCTATGTCCGGCATGTAACTCTTCCTGGCAACTCTTTCTGGCCCATGTCAGGTCTCCTTGCCTGGCAAGCAGGTGCCCACCCACCGCAGAATGAGTAAGGAGCCAGAGTGGGTGGAGCCTGTCTGCCAAGTGCTGGGGGCTGTGCAGAGGTTGGGTAACACATTCTGTGCCTTCATCTGGACTCATGATGGCTTTTGGGGTCCATTCTTCTCACTTCAATCTGCTATGTGGCCTGCAAGTTGCAAGAATGGCTGGAGCTGGGATGAAGTGGAGAGCAGGGCTCCAAGCAAGGGCGGGCCTCCGAGTCAAGCCTCAGGGTTCTTGCTGCTTCCAGGGAGAGGGGTTTCTAGAAGGCGCCATCTGGGTAAATCTGGTGTTTGGAGGATTGGTGGGAGAACTGTGATGCCTGAGCCCTCCCTTTGCCACTGTGTCCCCTTCCCATCTCTCTTCTGGTAAATAGCGACCCTCTGGTCACTAGGCCATCCACCTGAACAAAGGATGGACAGGAGACCAGGACCTGCCCAGGTGGGCACAGGCGCTGCTCGACACTCTGGGGACTCCCCGGACACTCCACCTCTGACTATGTGAACTGCGAACCATTGGGAGCTTCTTCAAAGGCCTGCATTGGCACTGGCACCAGTCACAAGTACTCTCTCTTCTTACTCCTCTGGCCTGGGGCATTTCCAGCCCAGCTCTCCAGGTTCGGCACGGTGGCCACATGAGCTCTTTATTGTTGGAGGACACACATTTCCATGCACACGGGATATGCCAA